CAGCCGCTGCAGTATGATTTAAGCAGCGCTGGGAAATGTTTGGATTACATTTTTGGCAAGTGTTTTGTATCTTTTGTGTCCGATGAGGTTAGTGCCTCATTCCAAAAAATGCTGGTTTGTGCAGACACATGATATTTAAGCTTCACTGTAATATGAGTGGATTGTAGTCATTAGAGTTTTAAGTTATGAAACATGACAATTTAGTTACTTTATGTTGTAACTGAGGAGTTATTTTGACTTCCTCATCCAAAGTTGCTCTCCTAAGGCATTCTAATGACATATCACTGGTCTCCAGATGAGGAATAAGGACTGAGAGATGTTTCCTGAACTGCTGTTTCAGGGGTGACGGTACAAGCTCTGTCCACGGTCCCAGTCATGTTCAGTTACTGGGTGAGTGTTAACCATGTGACCCGATTAACGATGGCAATAACAATACCGATAAAGCATTAATTCCATAGTAGTAATATATGAAAGTTTCGTTTTTAGTTACATGAAAATTACATAGCGCTTTTCAAGATACCCAAAAGACTTTACAGAAACAATGGGGAGCCACTTCAAACACCACCACTGTGTAGCCCCCACCTGGATGATGCGATGGCAGCCATTCTGCACCGGTACGCTCACCACACAGTAGCTAAGGTGGTGAAGGGGCAGGAGGGAATTCACCAATTAGATACAGGAGATTATCAGGAGGCCAGATTTGATAGGACCACAGTGAGCAAATTTAGACAGGGGTACCATCCTTACTTTTTTGAAAGATGCCTAGGGATCTTTTACAACCTCAGAGAGTCAGGACCTTGGTTTTACATCCCAGAGAGTCAGGACCTTGGTTTTACATCCCAGAGAGTCAGGACCTTGGTTTTACATCTCATCATACATTTGTACAGCAGTGTCCCTTTCACTGCACTGGGGCACTGGAATTCACATATGCCACAGGACAGGCTAACCTGTTGGCCATACCAGCACCTCTTCCACAGCAACCCAGCTCTCCTAATTGGGCTCTCCTCCAAGTACTGACCAGGCCCAAACCTGTTTAGCTTCAGGTGGATTACCTAGTCTGAACTGCAGGTGGTATGGCTGCCAGTATTGATTTGCATTGATTCTGCAGTACAGCTTTAAGGATCACAGAGTTATGCACTATTTACTTACACACTTTTCAGCCACAGACACCCTGTCTCTCACTCCCCCCCCCCAGGCAAAGCCCGAGGACACCCTGGACCTATGCCACCTCCTGAACGATGACCTGGCAGCGGTGGTGGCCCAGCACCCGCGCCGCTTCGTGGGCCTCGGCACGCTGCCCATGCAGGTGCCCCGCCTGGCCGTGCAGGAGATGCGACGCTGCATCAAGGAGCTCGGCCTGGCGGGGGTCCAGATCGGCTCGCATGTCAATGAGTGGAACCTCAGTGCCCCCGAGCTGCACCCCATCTATGCCGTGAGCCCTCCCAATAAGCAGCTTTTTGTTTATACCTCCCTTTATGTATATGTGATATATATATATATATATTACCGTATTGGCCCGAATATAAGACGACCTGAATATAAGACGACCCCCCCTTTTCCAAGTTCATTTTTGGGAAAAAGTTTTTTGAAGACCAGATTTTGTCTTATATAGAAAACTTGTTTATTTGATAACGCTGTTTACAATTTGTTGGAAGGAAAAAAAAAAAACATTTCATAAAGGTCAATATGTCAATGCATAACTTTCTATAGCCTATGGAATAATTTTACAGAAAAGTGAAAAATTATAAAATTCACCCAGCCTGAAACTGAAAGAATACACAGAAAGTGTGATGAGCCGGGTGGTTGAATCTGTCTTAGCACAGTGCTGTTAAATAAGACACTTCACTCTTTATTTCCTGAAAACTCTGTTGCCTGGTGACATGAATAGCATTCTAAAAAAAGAACAACAGAGTAAAGATTTGACGGGAATATAGCTCAGGAATATTCATTACTCTAATTTTGAAATTGGAGTCATAACTCCGTCTAAGATGTTGGTTAATTTGACGAGCCTTCGAACCACTTTGTTCAAGATAATCTCTTAACATCTTCATTATTCAGTGTTATGGCATTGTTGTGAAAACGCGAATAAGATGGCCGCGAATATAAGACGACCCCCCCTTTTTAAGAGGTATTTTTAGAACAAAAACTGCGTCTTATATTCGGGCTAATATGGTGTATATATATATACATAAAGCCGCAGTACAAGAAAGCAAGTCTGTGAGTGTCGGCTAATGGTGACTGTCCACGGCTGGTCTGTAGGAAGCTGAAAAGCTGAACTGCCCCCTGTTGGTGCACCCTTGGGACATGCAGACTGATGGGAGAATGGCCAAATACTGGCTCCCCTGGCTGGTCGGTTAGTATTTTTCATAATGAAAATCTGGCATGGTTACTGTGCACTGTTGGCAATTTGGAACAAACATTAGTATAAGGAAGAATTAAAGAAAGAATTAAGATGCAAAACTCCAGAAGCCATAATACCACCATAATAAAGTCTTCTCCTCTGCTGGCTTTAGATCTGCTAATTGGTAAATATAACCTCAACTATGAGACTGTTCTTCACCTAAAAGATAAGATTAAAAGGCAAAGACCTGGTAGAACTGTCATCAACCTACACTACCAGTCAGTTTTTGCACACATTGAGATTTTTTACATTTGCATGTTACTCACTTGACATTTGCTAAAAATACACTCAATATTCTTTGCTAACAAATAAATTTGCAGCTTGTTCACCATTTTAGTACCTTTATTAGCAAGAAAATGTTGTATGTTTCATTCATCAAAGTAACCTGCTCTAGTAGTTATAATGACAGAGAAATTTGAGGCATTATTTCTACAAGGAACATTAAATACTGCTCTGTTTCATGGGATGAAACAGTTAACTAGTGCATTTAAAGATAAAGAACAGCCTAGAATTTGACTATGCCATCACCACACATCCAGTTAATAGGATGTCAGACATGCACTGTTACAAACTCTTTCCATGTTATAAAGGAAACTTGTTTTATTTGACATATATTTTCAATTACAGTGGTTCACAAAATTTTCCAATACTTAACAAGAATAAAAAATCTGCAGTTTACGAAATAAATGGAAAAGTGGTAAAAACCTGATGTGTGCAAAACTTTTGACTGGTAGTGTATGTGTACCCTTCATTGCTTGACAGAAAAAAAACTGTTTAGACCATAATATTACATTTAAAATAGCGTGGGCACCATAAGCGGAATGCTGCAGGACTACTGTACCATATTTTCAGACTACCAGCACTATTTGTCCCATCAGGGATGCCGTCAGAGACGACAACAGCAATTTGCTCCATGATTTTTGGAGGTGTCTTTGAGAAATTCCCCAAGCTAAAGGTCTGCTTTACACATGGAGGTGATGTATGGAGCTAAATAATTGGATGAAACACGCAAAGTAAACTATGAATTTCAAGAAATATTGATTTAACTTAATACAATGTCTTTATCTATGACATCAGAAGAATGTGATCCATTTCATATTCATTGCAGCTGATTTGGGGTCTTTCAGGTGGTTCCTTCCCGTACACGCTGGGCCGGATTGAACATGGGTTTCAGGTTAGACCCGATCTGTGTGCTGTGGATTGTAAGGTCAACCCAAAGAAATGCCAGGGAGCCTTCTACACTGACTCATTAGTCCATGACCCTATGGCCCTGAAGTTCCTGGTTGAAGTAGTTGGGGAGGTAGGTATACCTACAGACCCATCACTGCTCTGTTTGGTTTATAGCTTTATGTTTAAATTGCCTGTGCAAAGGTTTGTATTTTACACAGTATCCATCTACAGTGCTGCTTTTGAACCCTTAATGTATTTCTGGAACAATCACAGTAAGATAAGCTCCATTCATACTTCAAAGAGCCAATTCATGAACTGAAAGGAGGGGAGATTATGTGAAATTTAAAACACCAAAGATGAATTACCTTAAACCAGTTAGAATGAAGCTGAGTGACACATACAAGCAGCTCTGTCAGAATGCAAGATGGGATTTATTTGAAATTCCAGCAACGGCCAATCACATGACAGGAGGGATCTGCTTTAGGGTGCATGTCACATTTCTAGTAACATTTTAATTGAAATATACATGATATATCTGCTGCTCTTCTCACTGAAGGACAGGGTCTTGCTGGGAACAGACTACCCTTTCCCACTGGGAGAACTGGAACCTGGCTCACTAATAGAGTCAATGCATGAATTTGACAGCACTTTGAAGGTAACTTCAGATGTCGTATGTTAAATGTTGAAGTTTGATTTTGACAGACACTGAAAGACGGATTAGACTGATGTGTTTTGCCTAGTCTTTGACATAATAATGCACGGAGGAAAAACAGTGAAGCTCATAATAAACATTTTTTTGTTTTGTTTCAGGACAAACTACTTGCAAGCAATGCTTTGGAGTTTTTGGGTATCAAAAGGACATGGTTTGAGTGACAAAAAAACTTGGACTCATTAAGATAGAGGCTCAGAAGGGTTGATGTTATTAAGTCAAATGAACTTGAGACCATGCCATGTTCTCAACTAGAACATAAAGTATAATGCTTAAAGCCTAAATATAAAAACTCTGAAGCAAAAAGACAGCAAATTATTCCCTGCCTTGTGCCCGTAGCTTCCAGGATAGGCTCTGGACCCCTGTGACCCTGAAATGCACAAGGGGATATAGAAAATGGATGGATGGATGGATGGATGGAATAAAGGCTCCCATTGATTGACAGTGTTGATCTCATACAGTCTGTTTAATGTATTTTCCTCACCAGAAACTGAGCACTTACTCCAGGTCTTACAGCTGGGAAAGTTTGCTGAGTTTATTCTTGATGTATATTGATAATTAAATTAATCATAACTATATTAAGGGTGTGCATTCAATTCTTTACTGTCATTGTACACAACAGCACAACAAGATTGGGTTAGCAAGTACCAACGAAGTAAGCATCAAGAACAGAATAAGGTGGCCAGGTGATCCCAGGTGGGGAGGGTACAGCTTTGGAGCCATGAAGGATGTTGATTGAATTTTGGCAGTACAGTTTTGGGATTATTTTGATTATTTACTCTGAATATTACAAAATGTTACAACTAGATATCCCAAACTTTCTTTGGCATGTTACGATAAGGACATCCGTTTTTAATAACTGCTTATTCTCTTTTATGGCATAGTACGCAAAATATGATAGATGACTTGTCAAGTTACTGTAAATTTTACATTTCGGTAAAACAGCACAACTCGTATGAACAATGTTATCAAAAGCAATACAAACAGACAAGAATGAATACATTCGAATTTGTGAAGCTTCAGACTTCAACTCCCACAATCCCTTTCGCCCAGGTTCCGTTTGTATATCGTTCAGTCAGTGTGTCTTCCGCTTTCTGGTGCTCTGTGTGAATACTAGGCTGCAATGGCGGCGTGCCGGGCATCTTCGAGATGGTTTTTTTCCCGGGAGCAGATCGAAGCCACACCGTCCCGCCGCTGTGGAGTAGAGGCGGATAGGGAATTATCGTACAGACAACAAGCGGCTAACCTTATTCAAGACATGGGCCAAAGACTCAACGTGTATCCTTCATAAGAGGGAAATTTCCTCAGAGTCGTCATCGAACGGCAAAGGATAGCTGGCGACCCGCAGGCCCCTCTCACCTTGGACTCTTAGGCAGGCTTTTTGTTCAGTAAAATGGCCGACTCTCCTGTTAATTATAGGCGTTTGGTTAGCTGCTTCGGTGGGCTGGAGTTGTATTGAGGCTGGTTTTATTTTTGGAGTTAGAAGATGTGGGGTTATTGCTTTTCGTGAGTACCGTAGCTAGCTAGCTAGCTAGCCAGCCAGTCGCGTGGGCTAGCAAGGCACGAGCCGTGTCCACTTCTGGCCCTAAGAAAGGCCGCAAAGCGACCGGCGACACACGACTCCGACACCGAATACTATGGTTATCTAGTGTTTGGTTTAATATATATAATCAATTCCCGTCATTCTCTGTGCCTGTTGGACTGTATTTTGTGCCCTGCTAACGGTTACCGTCGCAGTGAAACGCAGCTAGCAGTACCTACTGTAACTATCGTGATGAATTGTTCAGGTAAATCCGTTTACCGGGTTTTAGTGTAGGTAGTTTTCCGAGCGAAAACCGGTCGAGTACTGATAGCTTCGGTAAAAGAAAAAAAATGTTCGTATGTTAATAAAGTGCTGGGCGCACAGTATGGTTTTACGAACGTACCTTCGTTGTGTATGGCAGAACAAATGTACAAAAGAGATTTTTACTGTTATTGACTACTGACAGGTTGAATTTGAACGCTAATGTTGCATATCGAGGTCAGAGTCAGCGCGCTGCTGTCTGAATAACGATGAAATTTTCCTTAAGTCTTGCTTACAGTTCCCAACTCACAATAAACACTGCAATAGTTTACATGCACAGATTTTATATGTACCATTCTTTCACCAGGTTTCACAGAAATGTAAGCATTTATCTTTTCTTTACAAAAGTGTTTCTGTGGCACCGAGTGTGATTTTCCGTAGTGTCAGTTGGATATAATAATGCCACATATATATTTTAAGGTATGACTAAGACAGCAAGGTAGCGTAGTATTTATGGGTTTTGGCTTGTAACCCGGAACCTGAGCCTTAATCGATTAATCTCAGATACTCATTACCCAGATTACACTGGCGATATATCCCTCTGCAGGAATGATTAAATTTGTAATTATCTTAATTGAAAATTCCAACCAAGCAACTAAATGTAAATGAAATGGGCAAAAAAGCCAAGCATACTGTCATGTGAAAACAGGCACATTTGTAGAAACAAAAATGAAAAATGCCCACCTAAATGGTTAACATTTGTCCCACTCTGGATAGAAATATCCTGTATTACTGGAATTAAATACCCAAATTACTGCAGTTGTAAAAGCGGTGCAGTTTGTAAGTCACTGAGAGTGGAGTAATCATTTATATATTTATATTTTCCCTGTGCAGATCACTTCACCAACAACCTTATTCCTGGCTGCGAAGGTTGAGGAACAGCCTCGGAAACTTGAGCATGTAATTAAAGTTGCACATGCCTGTCTAAACCCTCAAGAGCCCCCGCTAGACGCAAAGAATAATGTAAGTGGCCTACGTGTCGTATTCTCGTGTTCTATGTCATATTTTCCTCTGTTGGGGACCAGCTGTGGTGTGCTTGCTGAGTGTGGCGTCATTTCTTAGCAGAGCCACTTTTCTGTGGCTTATTTTAATGAATTAATGGTATGTTAGTGTTTCATGTACTTTTTTCCAGTAAGGTGTGATTCAAGGTCTTTTTTTTTCTTTTTTTTTTTACACAACCCCTAAACTAAAGTTTAGAAGATTAAGAGTTGGGTGAAAGTGTCCAAATTGAGTAGTTTGATTTCCTTTATGCTAATTATGATGAGCATCATGCTATTTAAAAAATATAGCAATTAACAATTGCCATCCATGCTTATAAGTATCATATTTTAAATTTGAAATTGTTCAAATTTGGGGTTTGAAAAACAGTTACAGATGAAATGAAAGTAGCTTCCCTGGTATTTCTGGTCATGCTGTTTTTTTTTTTTTTTGGGGGGGGGGGCACTGAGAAACTGCCCCCACCCCATTGCATGGTGACCTGAGCTGACGGTATGGTCATGCACAGCTTCTGTATCGTACCACCGTCACATGAGTGTCACGCTCACTCGTCATTGGTATTACCCTGGGCAAAGCAAACCTCAGTGGCACTGATGTAGCCATGGAGCTAGCTGTCATCTTGGAGCAGTTCTGAGGCTGTGGAAGACACATTACAGACGTAATGTAATGATTGTCTGTTAAACTTCAGGCCTACCTCCAGCAAGCTCAAGAGCTGGTGATACTTGAATCCATAGTTCTGCAGACTTTAGGTAAGTAAAGGCCATGCACTGAGACCAAGCGGCTTGCGCACTGCCCCCTACTCTGTGGTTGTTGCTAGTGCACTGGCACCGCGGTTGTGTGGCGGTGTGCTGAGAGCCATGAGTCGTCTTCAGTTACGGCCACATCCCCCTTTAGCACGGGGCCTAGTAGCTCTGTCTCAGGGCTGTCCATTTTGTGCATTGATTGTCCACTTACTGGAATAGCCTCTTCAGCTAGAGCTCCGCAAGCTTGACAGCTTTCAAACGTGGGTATTCAGTGGTTCGTTATCCTCTCATCACTTTATATTGGGATTTTGTTGACATTATGCTATTGTCAAAAATAGCTCTATTGCACGTGGAGTCTGGTATTCATGCTGTGTAAGACAACTTCATTAAGGTAATCCTTTGATGGCACGTGCCACATTTAAGACACAGCCATTAACCGCTGAGAATCTGGTATCCATAAGGCTGAGAGTTCAACTGTTTTCATCACAGAGATGTCCACCTCCCTTTCCATTTGCCTGTGTGTTTTCAGGCATCATGGGGTTTTCTCTAATCTTTGTGCATGTCTTCAATTTGCAGGGTTTGACATAACAATTGAGCATCCACATACTGATGTTGTGAAATGTTCCCAGCTAGTGCGAGGTAGAGGTTTCCTTTTTTTATCTTTAATGATTTATCTGGGACAAAATGCACTAAAACGGTTTCTAAATGTGGCATGCTTGGAGGGTGCTTGCAGGTAGCTCTGTTGTCCACTCTTGGCTAACGAATGTCTCTCTCTCCTCTTGCAGCAAGCAAGGATTTGGCACAGACTTCCTATTTCATGGCTACCAACAGGTTGTTACCCTGACCCCTCTTTTTGCACTGTGATAGCACACTATAGCTTCCTTTACTGCAGGGTCCCCTGCCTGTGTCCGACGCCCTCCTTGCGCCGGGGCCTATGGGAAGCCCCCACCCTACCCCCTGGGAAGGGCAGGGGGGTGGTACCGGCCCGGCTGCAGTGCGGTGTATTGTACGAGGGACTGTGTTGGCACGGAGGGGTTGAATGCACAATGTGAAGTGTAGTGGTGCTTCTCGACTCGCTCGCTCGGTACAGAGTGCATATGTCTAAAGACACAATTGGTAGCCTGAGTAGCAGCTAAAGCTTACAGAGATGTAAACTTAGCACTCATCCTGGTAAGTACACTTTTTTCCCTTTTTCTTTATTTGTAATACTTCCTATTCTGCTATGCAAGTCATTAACAATTATTTAATAACATTGTTTATATTTCAATTCAAATATAAAACATTTAATCTGAAAAATATGTAGTAATGTTATTGAAATTTCTTGAATTACTAGCATTAACTCTTTAAGAACCTACTTTTTTAGAAAGATGAAGCTAAATTTTGTCTGGACAATATGTAAAATACCGTCTGAAATTCAGCTTGGATGTTCAATATAGGTTTTTCCTATCTGCTTTCCATTTGCAAAGTTTTGGGAGCTTAAGTGTTCAAAATCTGAAATGCTTAATTTTATTTGCCTTTCCTAATAGTTCTGAGGTCCTTAAAGGGTTAATATTTGTCTGAATGTGTGTGTTCCGGATTTTAGATCAGGTCAATAATCTGTTGACTTTTACACAGAAATGTACAATGTCTGGACATGGGTGCTAAGAGTCTATGGCATGTGCTTGGCCTCAATCACGGTGTTGAGCGTTGCATAAGTGGGCAGTTTCACTCCTTGGAACTGGTCCAAAGACTGCTCTCCCAGAAAGATGTGGAGAACGTCAGCTGCTTGGACCAGCTGAAATGAGGCGCATGGTGGGGGAAATGTTTCTTGGCCATGTTGTTTTCTTTGAACAGCCTCTGACTGGCGTGAATTTCCCCCTTTTCCCAGAGCAGTATTTCAAGGCTAATTGTTGAGAGATAAAGGAAGTGTTTCCCAAGAAGCAGCCCGTGACTGTGTTAAAAATGTCCATAGTTTTTATGAAATTCTTTTAGCTCAGCTGCCCATAAGGTTGCAGTGTAAAGGCCACACACTTCATAAGGTGATCTTTTGAGAGGACAGTCTCTGCCTTGTCCAGTGTCCAGACATTGTAGGTTATATCTGGGGTGCCTGGTTACCATCCAACTTTTAGTGCCATCCATTACATGGGTTCTATATGGTAGTTATGTTATCATTAAATGTGAACTCTTTACTGTTTAGGTTTGATTTTTCGTGATGAATATTCCTACTGACGTAAACCGTAAATAAGCCTGACTTTGATTTCATGCTAAATGTGGTACAGTATGTCAGTGATGATTTTTGCCCTAGACCCAGGTATTTGTATGGTCAGTCTATCGTGACCTGACTGTTTCTTCTTAGGTCAAGTCTCACCTGGCCTGGTCTATTTCACTACACCCTGTAAATAAATAATGATTCCTTAATTTGACCCACAGAATCATGTAGCCTTTTCTGGTCGTATTTGGATGGTAACTATGTTCTCCCTTTGGTGTCCGTTATAATTAAATGTTAACAACTTCTTATCCTCAAAGGTCATATTGTGGATTAGTACTTTGTAAAGACCATATATATATACTTGTATCACAGCTAATTGTTTTAATACAGATTTGTATCAATACAAAGGTAACGGTTCATATTTAGTGATGTCCACACTTTCCCGTTACTCAACAACTGATTTTTGGAAGCTTGACTGATGACTCCAGAGGTCACTCTGGTGGAGAAATCAGTATATTGAACCTGCTTATTAAAATTTGAATTTCTCACAAAAATAAAAGTAACTGCTAAAGAAAATGCAGTTTTATCGGCTAAATCTAATACAGATCCCCATTTTTAAAATCTGTTCTGTAGACCCATGTTTGTTGATACAATGAGTATATTCAGAAGACCCTCTCATCTGCTGTAGGAAAATTGTGGTAGTCGTGTGATACATGTAGCAGTGAGGTCTTGATCGTGAATGTGTTAAGGAAAATGAGTCCAGGGTAGAGGATTTCAGCATTTATTGTTTGGAGTCGCACATGATTGAAAAGCACCAGTACATGGCAGTGAGTGCTCGAGGTGACCATTGAGGTGTGTAAGTCTCTCTGTAGGGATTTTAATGTAGCCTTTTTGCTAGTTAAGATGCTACTTTGAATTCCTGAATCTGTCCATATATCTAAGTCTACATGGTGCTGATATGTGTATTTGTTATGTTATGCTGTTGAACAAAATATTGATAGTAATCACAAGGCAATTTAAAATAGAGGTGGCGTCAAACAAGGCCATAATGCCTTCAGAAATAACTATAGTTGTCTTAGAGTTGATGTAGTTTGTCCATATATTCAGAGTGAAGTGAGTGAAGAATTTGATGGCGGTGTGATGTATTAATATGTTCAGTGTAACTGATTTGGATAAAAGAGCTTTCTAGGCTCAGGTGGACTGGCCTCTTTTAGGACTCACTGCTGTATCGTTGCCTTTGTATCGATCTTATACAGTCTGATTTGCACCCCTAGTATTCATGTGTGTTAATGTGCATACATCCTTCCTGGCCTTGGATACTAAGTTGCTTCTTCCCCCCTCCTACAGCCTACACCTCACCACCTTCTGCCTGCAGTACAAGCCCACAGTCATAGCGTGTGTGTGCATCCATCTGGCTTGTAAATGGTCCAACTGGGAGATCCCCGTCTCCACGGATGGGAAGCACTGGTGGGAATATGTGGACCCCACCGTTACGCTGGAACTGCTCGATGGCAAGTGTTCCTGTTATCTATCCATTATGAATTTGTCCGTTCCTAAGGAACACAGTTTCTGTGGCCTCTGTGTTTTGGCTGTGTAAGTGAAGCACCCTTGGATTCAGAGCCTCTGCATAATGGCCTTGGGCTATTCCTTAATGTTCGCTTAAGGTTCTTTCTGAGCTTTGGTTTTGTCTTAAGCATATCCAGTATGTCATTCCTGAAGAAATTATTAGTAGTTGCGTCTTGGTTTGAGTACCCTCTGACTTTAAATGGACTCATCTGTGGGCTATATTTTATATATATGCCCTCATTTTTGACAGATTGGCTCTCCCCTTCCTAAGTGCATCATTCCTTTTATCATCTTTACAGTAGATAATAAAGGGCAATATACTAATTCTTGAGGGTTTAAGAGTGTTTAAATCAGGTGCTGGTAGCTGCTGTGGTACTGTTAGTAGGTTTTTGACCTCTGATGGAATTCCTTGTTTAATATAAATGCGTTCCTTACTGGCCCTGATAACTGTCTTGACTTGTATATTTAAGAGCATGGGTGGTGTGCTTTGCAAAAGAAAGACACTGTTTTTCCCATCCAACATTTTTGTTTCAAAGAATTTGCCCGGCCATATTAATGATAAAACTGCTTTATAAATGGAAATGGATATAAATTATCCATGTGAACCTTACATCAAAATGCCCAGCTCTTAAAATAGGAGGGATAGTATTCAAATCAATATTCATCAAAGAATTGATCATAGTTCATTATTTATTGAGGTAATTTATCTTTATAAGGACCTTCCTGCAACTGAAGATTTGTAATTCCTCTGTGTGTTTCTCAAACAGAGCAGGGTTCCAGGATGTGTCACCTTACACCCATTCTTGTCTGAAAAAAATGTCCACTCTCAATGGGTCGTTATTATGCTCTGTTCTAGTGCTGTTATGATACCAAAACTTTAGTTTCAATATTGAAACTAAGTCATGAATTTTGAGTTGTTCCCATTTTTCCTAATAGGGGAAGCACTCTCAAATGTCGTCATCGTGCTTTATTTCAAACAAAATGTTTTTCATGACATTTGGGTCATTTGACGGTGGTTTGGTTAAAATAAAAGCATGTTAGTCATAAATGCCGGTTGAGCATTATTTTGTCCATTATTAGTGGTTTGAATCACTGTGGGGTTGAATTAATTGGCGAGTTTGGGTCGCTTGTGAAGTGGACCACTGTAGACTACACATGAATATACATTTCACTCCTCTGTAGAGGCTTTTTTGATTCCTCTGATTTCTTTGATGTAAGGGGGAGTCAACTAGAGGAGTCAACTATCACCTGTCTGTCATTGAAATCCTTGGAAAGGTCAGGACATCTTGCCTGATTTGAGCGTGCTGCCTCCCTTTGCCAGACACACTTAAATGGTGCTTACGCTGCGGTGTTTAGCTGCTCATCCACATTATAGCTGTAATATCTCCATATCTCACTTCTGACCCCACTTTGTCAATGAGTTCAGGTGTTGCTGAAACTGCTGCCATCTCTTCTCTGAACTAAGTGGAAAAAGTCCACTGTTGTCTTTGCTGTTGCAATTGTCTGTTGTTTCCTGCAACACGTCACCGTTGAGCTTTATTTTTTTTTAGCCAAGTCACGTATCCATTTGCATAATAAAAATCTTGATTTTTTTTCCAAAATGCTAGTATTGTAGTGTTTTCAAAACTCTAGTACTGTTTTTTTCCCTCCTTCCCCCAATACCGGTTCACAGTGCGACACTACTGTCCAGCATTGTTAATTTTGACAGCAAATTTTTATTTAAATTTAGTCAGTCTTTTGACTAAAATGTAATTTAGTTTGTCATAATTTAGTCATCTAAATAATTTTAAGTTTGTCTAGTTTTAGTTGACTATAAGATTACAGTTGACTAAAACTACTGTTGATTTAGTCGACTAAAATTAAAAGTGCAAAGTGTAATGTNACTGTAGACTACACATGAATATACATTTCACTCCTCTGTAGAGGCTTTTTTGATTCCTCTGATTTCTTTGATGTAAGGGGGAGTCAACTAGAGGAGTCAACTATCACCTGTCTGTCATTGAAATCCTTGGAAAGGTCAGGATGTCTTTCCTGATTTGAGCGTGCTGCCTCCCTTTGCCAGACACACTTAAATGGTGCTTACGCTGCGGTGTTTAGCTGCTCATCCACATTATAGCTGTAATATCTCCATATCTCACTTCTGACCCCACTTTGTCAATGAGTTCAGGTGTTGCTGAAACTGCTGCCATCTCTTCTCTGAACTAAGTGGAAAAAGTCCACTGTTGTCTTTGCTGTTGCAATTGTCTGTTGTTTCCTGCAACACGTCACCGTTGAGCTTTATTTTTTTTTAGCCAAGTCACGTATCCATTTGCATAATAAAAATCTTGATTTTTTTTCCAAAATGCTAGTATTGTAGTGTTTTCAAAACTCTAGTACTGTTTTTTTCCCTCCTTCCCCCAATACCGGTTCACAGTGCGACACTACTGTCCAGCATTGTTAATTTTGACAGCAAATTTTTATTTAAATTTAGTCAGTCTTTTGACTAAAATGTAATTTAGTTTGTCATAATTTAGTCATCTAAATAATTTTAAGTTTGTCTAGTTTTAGTTGACTATAAGATTACAGTTGACTAAAACTACTGTTGATTTAGTCGACTAAAATTAAAAGTGCAAAGTGTAATGTGTAAGGTTACCTTCGATTTCTGAAAGTTTAAATTTTGAAAGATTAAATGAAACCAATGTTAAGGGGATGGTATCAAGGTCTGACTATGCAGTACATAAAGACACAGATTTCACTGTTATTTGAATCACAAACTTATGTTTATTTACCCAGGAACTGAGTATTATAAAATCAGTAATCTTCCTGATAACGTAGTGCAAGCTGAATCCTTGGGTTCCTTTAAATCAGAGCTAGATAAGATTTTAACAACTCCGAGCTATTAGTTAAGTTCTCCCCAAGCGAGCTCGATGGGCCGAATGGCCTCCTCTCGTTTGTATAGTTCTTATGTTCTTATTAGTGCACAAATGAAATCACTTCAAAGTGCATAGGCTATAATGCCACCAGGCCTGTTCTCTCTGAATATTAAAATAGAAATATCAAAATAAATATTTGTAGACATAGTTTATTGGTGATTTCATGTTCGTTGAAATTTCCACTTTTTAACAACTGTATAAAGTAATGTTATTTGTCATAGAAATCAACTCAGGTGAAACAAAAAATGTACGTTTTCAGTATTGCCAAATCTCAAGAATCTGGCATGACACTCACACTTTCACATTCATGCAGGAAATCTTACTGCAAATCTATTATACCATTTTAAACGTAAAATTTGCTACATCAAAAGTGTATTTACACAGTTAAATAGAGAAGCAGACTATTTACAAGGTAAGAACTGTTACATATGTGAGCAGACATCTGGAATTGATAATCTCACTCCAGCCAGCTGGCCGAAGTTGGCGACCCCGTGTTCTATTTGAAATAAAAAGTAAAATGCACTGTTTTTGCCTGAAACGGCTTGTCATTCCGTTTGGGTTTACTTCGACAAATATAAAACGAATGAGAAAAACACGTCACGTTTTATATTTTTTCGAAATAGAGAAGGATATGGGTGGTCTTACTAACCACGATGAGTGGTAAGTTCGTATGTATATTAAAACGAGACTTTGATTTTTATTACCGATGTAGGATTATCCATGAACACTAAAATATGACAAACACAACTGTATTAGGGTTTTATAGCTTAAGTTAAGCACTTTATTTAAACATGCACAATTTTCACATTTTATTTTCTCTTATTTTGAAATGCAGCCCTACTTTTATTTAGTAGATGTTCATACAACTAATAGGCTACTTAAATATATATATATATATATATATATATATATATATCACTAAATAGACATTATGATCCTCCGGACCTTTGCTTCAAGAAATTTTCTGTACCTGGACCTCTTTAAATTTTAGTTGAATACCCCTCCCTTATGCGAACTACATTGGTTCTGATTGGATCTCTTCTCTTGCAAACATTTTCGTCTTGTTTTTTTTTCGTTGCCGAAATTGTCAATACACTTCGTCTTAGGCCTCGCAGAATCGTTTTTATTTAGTTATCTCATTTTATTCTGAAAAAGGTCGTTGATAACTGACGTCCAATTAGTTAACACTGCTGTTAACACTGCTGTCCAAGTCTGTCCATTCATCAGCCTGTGGGCTCCTCTCTGCCACTCTGGTTCCATCCTCACCCTGCATCTAAATGGCCCCTTCTCCATTCCAGAACTGACGCATGAATTTCTACAGATTCTGGAGAAGACCCCCAGCAGGTTAAAGCGGATTCGAAACTGGAGGGTGAGGATCTTCTGTGGCATCAACTACATGACTGTTAATGACTGTACACATTGGAAAATACACACTGTTCCCAATACCTCACAAACAGATTTTTATTATACTAACTGACAGAGAATACAGTGGCAGTTCTGAACTAGATGCCCCCTGACACAATGGCATTTTGGGTAATGGTATGTCATTTATGTCATGTATCATGTTCCTCCATCAGGCGACCCAAGCTGCCAAAAAGCCCAAGTCTGAAAGCCAAGCCAGCGATGGCTCCATCCCTGACCTCTCCTCAGCCCAGGTCCCAGGGCCCTCCCTAGTTGACAGCATTCCTGGGGTGTCAGCTAGTGCCACCTTTCCCAAAGCCTCTGCGTCCTTTCCTGTCCCTGTGGCATCAAGCTGTGTCAGCACTCTGTCCATCGACAGCCTTCCTGGCATCCAGATCTCGTATGACTTCAGCGAGGCTGGCAGCTGGCCCAAGGATGCTGCTGGGCTTGAGGCCCCTCCCTTCCAGCATGATACCCCAAGTTTTCTACCTTCAAACTCCGCAACCCCCCAGCCATTTCCCTCCGGTAAACCTGAACAAAAGGCGGGAGGTGGAGCACGGCACCCCCCTGGAACCCAGAGGATGACCCTGGATAAATATCGGGAGAAGCATGCTGCGGGTCGGAAGCAGGACCCTGGCGCAGAAGCACCACTGGCTTCCTTGGACCACAGGAAGCAGCCACATCTCCAGCCAGTTCTGACCGGTGTCCTGGAGACCTCTCCGGTAAAGGCAAAGCTGCCCCTGCCCGTGCCGGACCGTCACTTGGGGGACAAGCGGGACAAGGGCAGCCTGAAGGTGCACCTGCCCGTTCCGTCGGGCGACAAGGGTGACGTAGGACGGGAAGAGCTTAAGATGAAGATCAAGGTGTCCTCGGAGCGCCACAGTTCGTCAGATGAGGGCAGCTCCCGGACAAAACATTCCAGTCCGCTGACGAGCAAAGACAAGCACAGGGAGCACTCTGGCCAACGGCACCACAAGCATGGCCATCCACACGTCCACTCCCACAGTGGTAATGGCCGGGGGGGCCCTGAAGGTACCCTCTGTAGCCCGGTAGGTGTAAGCGGTGAGGGTGTGGGCCCTGGCACCGGCCCCCACCGAAAGAGGGCCCACCCCGAGGCGGGTTCCCACAACCACCACTCCAAAACGAGCAAAAGTTCCAAAAGCTCAGGTAGTGCGTCTCTTTGTTCCTCTGTACGGCAGATTGTGTCCTCTGAGGGCTCTGTTGTTAACCACCCCTTCCCCCCCCCTCCTCCCCCTGTCGCATACCAGGTGGGCTACGGACATCTCAGCACCCTAGTGAAACTGGACAGGAGTCCAGTGGTGAGCCTCGGCTCTGAGGGCACCGGCCCCGGGGCCAACGGCCTGCAAACTGACTACAAGGACACTTTCGATATGCTCGATTCGCTCTTAAGTGCCCAGGGAATGAACTCGTGAACTAAGGGGGCGTCTGCGCGCAGGAGCCGGGGTCTCGGGGTTAAGACCGGAACAGAAAGACTCGCTTTTAACCTTAAGGCCATGTCGCTAAGCTTTCATTATACAGTACTTACAGCTCCACCCGCCATGGTACGCAAGTGCTGTGGGAGGGCGGTATAGTGTAAATCAATCTCCATATGAATTGTATTCTAAATACTGCGTAGGCAGTATCTTTGTGTAAAAGGCAGTATTTATTTTTTGGAATAATATTTCCAGGATTTATGCAAGAGAATGAGCAGCCTCAATGCTCTGCCGAAGAGTCACACACTGCATCTGAAATGGGTGTTAGTCGCTTGGGTCCTTCAATAAGTACCTTTTTTATATCTTTATACTGTGTGTATGATTTGCATGTTTCAATCAGAGATAAAATGGGGTAATGACTGTTTACAGAAAAAGATAAATGTGCATATGTTTTCTATGTTAAAATTCTATACCCTAAATACTCAGGTTTAGAGCTGCTTGTAAGTAACAGAATATATACGTATATAAAAGACAATTGTAACTTGGTGTAAGAAGTCCACAGTAGGCGTGATTGATCTGCAGCATTCCAACGCTTAAGGCCTGTAATCTGCACGTCTGCCAGAAGAGGGCGCACAATCCATCCAGACTTTACAGCATGACAGGCAACAGATTAAAGTCATGGGGTTATTTTGACCACCGTAGATTAAGATGGATACAAATAGATGTGCGTATAACTTAAGGGGACAGTAATAGAGAGAAGAATAAAGTTTACGTGATCTTTGCAAAGAAATCTTTGGATCGGTGCAGTGTCCTGGACCCAGGGCTTTACACTCGTAGGGTTACGTCTCGTATGGCTGAATAGGAGGAGTGTAATTTCCGATCACTTTCTAATAACTCATTTTAAAATTCGGTCTGTGGGTTGTATGTGAATTGGCTAAATGACTGCATGTGGGGGGTGGGAGGGGGGCGTTTCCGGCTCTCATGCTTCGACCGCTCAAAAGCAGCATTACAGTCATTACAGTGGCTTGAAGAGACGAGCAGTCCGGTTTATCCATTTCAACTCAAATAAACTTTAAGGTTTCCATTACCTTAAACCTCATGGTTGAAGTCCTGTCTGGTTCTTTCAGATTTGTAGCATTCTGTGAACATCCATGATGCTTATACAAATGGTCACGGCTATCCTTTAGGTATAAAAAATTCCCCTTTCCTCGCTCCTTTACTTTTAAGGCAGCCATGCCTTTTCAGTAACCTTTGGCACGAGGAACCCAAATACTTCGTTAAGAAAGTATGCATTTTTAAATATTAAGGCTTTGGTCCATCATGCGGAGTAATCCATGCTTGGAAATGTTAGAAACCATGTCACAGATGAATGAATTGTCATCCAAATGACCTTGTCGGTGCAAGAGAGAAAAAAGACAGGAAGGATACAAAATAGTAAAAAAACAAATTAATATAAAATTGAAATTTGAAAATATAAACAATATAAAAATAGAAAAAATACTTAAGAAATACTCCTCTCTGATTCAGAATGAATATGAAACTGGCACATTTCAGCAGTGTAAGAAAATATTGCGCGTGTTAATAGGTGGTGATGGGCAAAACGACACTCCATGAACTGTCCACTGATGGAGTGTATGCAATAAAAAGGTATTTAACATTTCAGACCAAACGACTGAAGCCACATTAGAAACCAAGGATCTACAGCGCTACATAAAGAAATCAAACTAATCTGACATGAACTACTTTTGTATTGCGTGTTATTGCTGTAAAAAATACTACTCCCCACTTTTGTTGTATTCAGATATTCATGGGTTAGAAATTAAATTGAGCTGTCAATACATGCCTGCGCCAGGAACAAGTAACATTACTATTTTAGTGTTTTCATAGTTAGGCGTATTTTAAAATGAACTGAAGCGTACAATAAGATTCGAAAAAAAGAAAAATACCGTGAGCAGCGGTATGTTATAATTGAATTTGATGTTTGGGATATCATGAATAGATTGCATGCATTATAAGTTATTGTGTATCGCAAGCGTGATTAATATTTCAGGGTATTTGCAGCGCATGAACTGCCCGTCAGTGAGTCAAGGGATCATGTTGACTCGCTGACGTCGGCGCTGCTGCACGAGCGGTCGCAGATCCCGGATCAGCTTGATCTCCCCGCACCGCGGTCATCGAGCGCGGAGGGAACAGCCAAGCTCTGATCCTGCAGCAGCTAATGTAAAGGGGAAGGGAAGGATAGAAAAGCTGCGCGACCGCAAGGTTTACCCATAATGCATCAGTGGGGGGAAGAAAAAACGCAGACAGTGGAGTGCATGATGGCGGCCGACAGCGATGTGAGTACATCTCTTTATCGGGGGCGTAGTTGTTACAGGGTTCTGCTAAAGGACCTAGAACCCTGAGCCTTTCTTAAATAGTGACCTTTTATTTTTCAGCCCGAGTCCGAGGTGTTTGAGATCACAGATTTCACCACTGCCTCGGAGTGGGAAAGGTAGGACATCTGTAAGGCTTTAGGTTAACTTATATTAACTAGCAGCTTAACTATAGGATAAGGATTAATGTAGGGATATTGTCACTGTATCGTCGTTGTCATTGAGAGGGTGACAGCAGCCCGCCACCGTTTTCCTTACTTGGAGTCAGTGGCGATGCTTCAGTGTGTATAGCCTGCAGGTTCCGGCCAGCCGTCACGGGCCGCCGCGAATCTTATTTTATCATCATGTATCTTACTGCTTTGTCAGAAACGGGAATAAAGAAAGCAGCTTATAGGCCTTCGGTTTCTTTCTGCCTTTTATATTTATGCACTGAAAAGAGGTCCCGGGCCATTCCGTGTGCAGCTCAGAGCTGTGCCTGTTTGTTTGGACTGGTTTGTATAATGTTTCTGATTGCATATGTAGCGTCATGCGTGTAACGTCACACTGGTGTACACAACACCAGGCGTTGATCGCCGGTGTTCTGACGAGTTGAGCTACCTATCGAGACATACTATACTTTTCTGCGCATGTGCAGTTACACCGTTTCGGGGTTAGTAGTGTTATGGCTATCGATTAGCACTACGGTAGCCTAACTCGAGAAAGTAGCTCAACTCGACAGAACACCGGCTCACTGGGCGACGTGGGCGTGTGATTGGAGTCTTCCGGGGCATCTCTCAGGATGGGACTTCCTGGTTTGAAAGTCTTTACCGAATTGTCTGGAATGGTTATTTTTGTTGTTATTATTTTGCATGTCTTCTGTGCTCACACTTACCTGGGGAGAAAATGTGAGATAATAAACGGGAGTAAAGGGATCATTTAAACCAAAGCTCAGAGCTAATGTGTGGAGTGGCCAGTGCCTTTAAATGTGTTGCTGCTTTGCTTCCCCTTGGGGAACATGTCAAAACCTGTGATCATTCTGCAGGTTCATTTCCCGGGTGGAAGAAACATTAAATGACTGGAAATTGATTGGCAGCAGTGTGGGGAGAGCCCAGGAGAAGGTCTGTCCTGGCATGTGTGTATGTGCTGCTCTCTGACTGGGGTGTGTATGTGCTGCTCTCTGGCTGTGGTGCGTGTGCGCGTGTACGCGTGTGCATGCTTCTGCCTGGCTGTGGTGTATGCTTGTGGCGCCCCCTGCTTGTGGTGGGTGTGTGTGTGTGTGTGTGTGTGTGTGT